GCTCCACAGCTTAGAGGGAACACTGGCTAGGGGAACTCATTAGCATAACTCATTAGCATATGCCACACCCCCTGACATCACCGGAAGTGTGTCATAAGGCCACACACCCCACCCCCAACGGTTCCGGCCGCCGGTGGCGGCCTTGCAGCTCCACTGCTGGGCCTCATGAGGGGCCTGGCGGTGGACCTGCAAGGCCGTCGGGACTGCAAGGAAGCCCCGCCAAGGCCCTCCCTGGCCCCAGGCAGGCAGGGGTGGGGAGAGGCAGGGAGGAAGCAACTTACCCTCCCTCTTCTCCTGCCTCCTCCTGGCTGAATGAGGGCCAGAAGTGGGGTGGCCGGAAGCAGGGGGCGGGGCTTCGTCATGTGCCCCGCCCCCCGTACCTCACCCGGGGGAACTGCAATCCCCCGCGATCCCCCGCGATCCCCCCCGAAATGACCTCTGGTTACCTCAACCCTCAAGTTACGGGACTGAAGCCCAAACCGATCACTGGCCACAGTAGGGACTTCGAGGCAAGCTTTTCCTGGTGGCGGCGATGGGAAGTGCCATCAAACGGCAACCAACTTATGGTGATCCCCTAGGGCTTTCAAGGCAAGAGGCATTCAGAGGTGGTTTGCCATTGCCTGACCTCTGCATAGGAACCCTGGACTTAGTTGGTGGTCTCCCTCCAAATACTAATCAGGGCTGACCTTGCATAGCTTCCGAGATCTGAAGAGATCAGGATAGCCTGAGCCACCCAGGTCAGGGCGCAATAGGATTAGCATTGTAAAATTAGAAGACAATGCAGGCAAAAAAACCCCAAACAAACAACCACATGGTTTCAAACACGAGATGCCCTGAACAATGGAGAACATGGGTTCCAAAAGCAGGAGCCGATGCAGAAAGAGCAAGATAATGCATGAAATAACAGGGCCATGAACTACGAGTCCATTCATACATTTATAAACAGGGTTCTGTTGGCACCTTAAAGACAGACAAGATTTTATCCCAGCATAACTTTCAGCGGATTAGAGCTCAATTCGTCACATGCATATAGTGGGACCAAGCTTAGGCAGACGTTTATATTTGAGGCCCTGAAGACAATGATAAACGGCAGAGTCAAAGGCTGCGGAATTCAGGAAGAGACATGTAATTAGCCTAAATTCAAATGCAATCAAGGAAAGTGCAGAGACCATTCACAGTGGTGGTAATTGGCAATCTAGTTTCCCTAAACTAATTGACCATCAGTAAAGGCTGAAGGGGGAGCTGGTGGCTCAAGTGGTTAAGACGCTGAACTGTAGGCTGTGGAAGGTCGGTAATTCAGGAGTTCGAGACCCGGGTGCCGCATGACGGAGTGAGCTCCCGTCTCTGGTTCCAGCTCCTGCCAACTTAGCAGTTCAAAAGCAAGGAATTGCAAGTAGATAAATAGGTACCACTTAGGTGGGAAGGGAACAGCGTTCCGTGTGCCTTGGTGTTTAGTCATGCCGGCCACATGACCACGGAAACGTCTTTGGACAGCGCTGGCTCTTCGGCTTTGAAACGGAGATGAGCACCGCAACCCTAGAGTCAGATTCGACTGGCTTTCAAGCAAGGGAAAGGCTGAAAGAGTCCTGGGTTCTACTAAATTCAAGCCCGGCAGCACCAACAAAATTTTCAGGGTATAACCTTTCAAGAGTCAAAGTTCCCTTCATCAGACATGAAATTTAGGATTTATTAAGAAGCTGGAGAGTTCTGCTCTTTGGTCTAGGAAACTTATGCAATATGCATATAATAAGGTAAGGAAGTCACCCAACTCCCTGGCTGGTCCCTGTTACAGGGTTGCCAACTCCAGGTTGGGAGATACCTGGATATTTTGGGGATGGAGCCTGAGAAGGGCGGGGTTTGGGGAGGGACTTCCATGGAGCATGATGCCGTTGGGTCCACCTTCCAAAGTGGCTATTTTTTCCAGGTGAACTGATCTCTGTTGCCTGGAGATTGACTGTAATTCTAGGAGATCTCCAGATACACCTGGAGGATGACAACCCCAAGACGGGATCTGTTGTGGGTGTTGTAATTTAGAGACACCTCCTTATAGGAACACAGAGGATGGGAGTTTCTAGAGAATCCCTGCTGGCTAGGAGGGGGTGTTATGTATTAAGTCTGGAACATTCCAGGACTATCTACCAGAGACTGGCTGAGCTTGGAGCTCTAGAACAATAGCGCACCAGGACTCTGGAAGTGGCCAATGAGAAACTAATGTTATGTAAATGGCCTATGGTTGGGAGTTGGGTATGCCTGAGTGTGGTTTTTGCATGCTATTTAAACAGGGCTGTTGCCCTGGAATTTTAGTCTTGTTCCTGAAATCACTTAATAAAGTAGAGCTGTTCGCCGCAATGCATCTTGAACCCAGTATTTAACAGGGAGGATCTTCAAGGCAGGAAGATTCTGAGAGCACTCATGGAAGCTAGAAGAATCCTCTGTTCGGCATAAACGATTACATTTACTTTTATTTTACTCTGTCCCTCAGATGATTGCAATTACATTTATTTTACTCTGTCCCTCAGATGATTGAATCCTAACTTATTACAGGGCCTTTCTCTCTCTTTCTCACCTTTTTCAGGATGGATGGCTGCTGACGGAGTCCAAGAATGGAGGCGACAGGTAATAGTAGGACTTTCAGGCCAACCTCTTTGCTCAGATAGGCAGCCTGAGCAAGATACCCTTCTGCTGAGCCATCTTTGCAGGGTTGTTTTGAAGACTAGCCAGGACATCTCCATAGACACATCCCTGATTGGACTGGGCTGTGGGTTGTAACTGTTGGATTAAATAGAAATGGCATCATGGGAAATGACAGACATCTATTGGCCCCCTTTCCCAATAATAGATTATTGTTCCATTGGATGGCTCTCCGCTCATCTTTTTTATTCCGGTCACTTGTATCAGCATTAAGTAGAGGAATGGAAGCTCTGATTGTGTGTGAAGATCAATGATGCGCACAATAGTGCCTTGGCATTGTGGCTGAAAGGAGACCGGAGCCCATGTAGAATGTTTATTGCAAATGAGCTTGCTGGCCTCATTTGACATTTCAAAGGGCTCCCTGAAGCAGGGGTGGCAGATTAAAAAGGCAGAGGAGCTCTGTAATGCAAATGCTGCGCACTCCCTCTGGGTAAAGAAGGAGAGTTCTTGAGACTGCATGTGTGTAAAGTGCCTTCAAGTCGCAGCGGAATTATGGTGACGCTGCAGGCTGTGGAAGGTCAGTAGTTCAGCAGTTCGAGACCTGGGTGCCGCAAGACGGAGTGAGCTCCTGTCTCTAGTTCCAGCTCCTGCCAGCCTAGCCATTCGAAAGCAAGAAATTGCAAGTAGATGAATAGGTACCACTTCGGTGGGAAGGTAACAGCGTTCTGTGCGCCTTGGTGTTTAGTCATGCTGGCCACATGACCACGGAAACATTTTCGGACAGCACTGGCTCTTCGGCTTTGAAACGGCGATGAGCACTGCAACCCTAGAGTCGGATTCGACTGGCTTTCGAGCAAGGGAACCTTTACCTTTACCTTCACTTGGAGTCTCAGAGCGGCTTACAAACTCCTTTCCCTTCCCCTCCCCACAACAGACACCCTGTGAGGTAGGTGGGTCTGAGAGAGCTCTGACTGAAACTGCCCTTTCAAGGACAGCTCTGACAGAGCTATGGCTTGCCCAAGGTCATCCAGCAGCTGCAAGTGGAGGAGTGGGGAATCAAACCCAATTCTCCCAGATTAGAGTCCGCACACTTAACCACTACACCAAACTGCACTCAGTATCATGCTTGTATGACTGGGCAAAACTCTGCTATATTAACCAAATATCCCAATACTCAATCCAAAGAATGCAGCAAAACTTTAAAGGCAACAGAATTTGCCCTTATAAAGGTCTCCTGCTGTGGCTCTGTCAGTTACAGGGAATTGTCTATTTAGGTGTGAAAGTTCAGGCTTAAAGAAAATGGAGCGTGTTATCTGTTATATTTTTATCTTGCTCTTCCTCCAAGCAAGGTTCTCTCCTACCTCTTTTAGCCTTATAGAAACCCTAAGTTACACCATGGAAGAGTGTCTGACTTCAGATTTACCCTGTGAACTATGTGGCTGTGGAGGGATTCGAACCCAGCTCTCCACAGGCCTTGCCCAACACTCTGACTGCTTACCCCTGTATAGATCTGTGGTGTGGCTTCATTTGGAATCCTGTGTGCAGTTCTGGTCACCATATCTCAAAAAGGACATTGCAGAGCTGGAAAAAAGTACAGAGAGGAGGGCAGCCAAGATAGTTAGGGAGTTGGAGCCCCTTCTCTATGAGGAAAGGCTGAAGAGTCTGGGACTTCTCGCTTTAGAAAAGAGATGGCTAAGGGGGGGGGGACATGATAGAGGTTTGTAAAATTATACATGGCATGGAGAGAGCTCTCAAGGATACATTTTTCCTCCCTCTCCCAAAATACTAGAACTCCAGGGCATCCAATGAAGCTGATGGGCAGTAGGTTCAGGACGGACAAAAGGAAATACTATTTTACAGGGGGGTTTTTTGTAGAAAAAGCCCAGCAGGAACTCATTAGCATAATAGGCCACACCCAACAGCAGAAACACATCAGCATATTAGGCCACACCCCTGATGGCACAGATTATTAGCATATTAGGCCACACCCCACATGTTACCAGAAGTGTGGTCATCCAGCCATACCCACCTTTTGCTTCTTATTCTGTGTACCTTGTTTGTTGTCAAAACCCAGGGCTTTTTTTTGTAGCAGGAACTCCTTTGCATGTTAGGCCACACACCCCTAAGGTAGCCAATCCTAATGAGTCTCTGCTGTTGGGTGTGGCCTATTATGCTAATGAGTTCCTACTGGGCGTGGCCAACTCAGGAGCCAGCCGGAACTCCGTTCCTGTGCGTTCCTGCCCCAAAATAGCCCTGCTACTTTACACAGAGAGTGATTAAAATGTGGAATTCGCTGCTAGAGGATGTAGTGATGGCCACAGGAATAAACAGCTTTAAAAGGGAATTACATAGATTCATGGAGTTATCAGACACTGTTAAATAAACAAAATATTGCAAGAGTGCTAATGTTTTAAGCATGTTTTTATTTTAAGTAAAAAAAACACCTTTGTGTTTGTGTCCTTTATAAAGTTTATATCTCTGCTACCCGGCGTTACATTTTATGACACACATGGTTCAGTCCAACAAGGTCTCATTTATGTCAGATCTGGCCCTCGTAACAAATGAGTTCGACACCCCTGGATTAGATATTTTCATGGAGGATAAATCTATCAATGGCTACTAGCCATGGTACCTGAGGGGAACCTCCACATTCAGAGGAACTAATCCCAGAGCCAGGGGGCAACATTACGGGAAGGCCTTGGCCTCTCTGCCCTACTGTTGGCTGTCCAGAGGAACTGGTTGGCCACTGTGTGAGACAGGATGCTGGACTAGATGGACTATTGGTCTGATCCAGCAGGGCTCTTCTGATGTTCTTACATCACGCTCACTTTCATCAATACCAGCAGTCCCCAACCTTTTTGAGCCTGTGTGGGCACCTTTGGAATTCTGATATAGAATGGTGGGTGCTAGGGTTGCCAAGTCCGAAGCGGTGTTGGAGCGGGGGACTCCAGCGCTGCTCCGGGAGTGCACGCGCCACAACCACGTCACCCGGAAGTGACATGACCATGCCGGGCACGCTGGGGGCGGGGCCACGACCATCTGAGGGGAAAACATAGAGTTTTCCCTCGGATGACCATGGCCCCGCCTCCAATGTGCCCGACATGATTGCGTCATCTCCGGGCGACGTGCACGTCGCATGCTTTGGGGGTGGGGTTCCCCCCGGGGCCCTATCCGCCGGCGGTGGGTAACAGGCCTCTGGGGCGGGGGCTTCCCCGTCCCCCGGGGGGACTTGGCAAGCCTAGTGGGTGCAGCCACAGGAGGTGGAGCCTGCCACAAAATGGCTGCCACAGTGAAGATCCCTGTGCTGCAGGGGGCCCTACTGCCAAACCAACATTTTTTCTAATGGCCAATCAGAAGCCTCGCTTGGCAAAAGCCCCATCTGGCCCCACCCACTTTCTAAAAACATTTAGCATGCATCAGGAAAGGTGTCAGTGGGCACCTTGTTGGAGACCCCTGGCCTATTTCAATCCAATGATCTAGCTCTCTTCTGTAAACATCCTAATCACAGGGCATCTACTGTTTCTATTATTTTCTATAAATAGGGGCATGTTTCCTATTTAAAGGTGGTTCACAGTTTGGAGTTCTTTTTTAGTTTCTGTGCCAGGAAAAAACCCAGGAGTGCTGATAGCAAGTCTGCTACTGAGATCCTGGCTTTGTAGATATCAACGTGTTTGCTCTGCAAGCTCTTTACTGAGAGCGACGGTTCTTAGGGGTGAGTTTAGCATTGCAGGGCCCGTTATCTTAAAATTACGGCCATAAAGAACTGAGAGGCAGGATTTCCCCTTGAAATAGTCCAGAGCTGTGGTCTTTTGGGTTCTGTTCTCCAACTCCTCCTTTGATGAGGCATCAAAGGCGGAGAGATCTCTTTCTAGATTGTCTCTGCCTCTCCATTTAAGGAAGCTTCCATCAGCATTCCCTGGATTGTGTTTTGAATGCAGGATAAAGGCATCTACAGAGCCCACACAGAAGTGTCCGTAGCATTCAATCATGGCTTTAGGGTGTCTGGAGAGAGATCCATTAGCTGGGAAGCTGAAACCCAGAGGCAAAACTTAGTGCATTAGCCAATTGTCCCAGTTGTGCCTTTCTCACATTTGTCATGCATCTAAATAGAACACATGATGGTGTTGATGGTGGGAAGATTAGAAATTTGAATGTTTAAAAAATTTAATTAACATTTTCGGGTATTCCATTGCTCAGCATCCTTCCTTCTTCACCCACACACTCTTTATGGAATATAAATATAAGAGGAGCTGTGCTAGCTCACACTCATTTTCGGGTATTCCATTGCTCAGCATCTTTCCTTCTTCACCAGCACACTCTTTATGGAATATAAGAGGAGCTGTGCTAGCTCACACCAGTGGTCCAGTTACTCCACTATCCTCTTTCATACAGTGGCCACAGATACTTCTCACAAATTGGTCTAACCTCTTTTAGAAAACATCTAACTTCACAGCCATCATCACTACATCACTCAGCAGTGAATCCCACAAGGTTACTACACGAAGAAGTACTTCCAATCAGCTCTTGAAATTGGGATTATTTCTCATCACCTGGATGCTCATCAATAGACGGGCAGACACATTCCTGTATTCTATGTGTGCAAAATGAAAACCTGCATGGAACTAATGTCATTCATTTGACCTGGATCTCTTTTATCTCTGAACTGTAATAATTGTGTATTTTTAAACAAATCTCAATGGCTCAAGGAAATGGCATTTTGTACATGCTCAAAAGCACCATCCTCTTTATTTTATTGTATTTTTATACTGTATTTCTTATTTGGAATAGTGATTGTAATATAACACAATGAATAGTAGAAGTAGAATGTGATGTAATTTGGAATGGTAGATTGGAATGTATTTCTCTGGTCTGGTGACAGAGAAGAAGAAGAAGAGATTGGATTTGTACCCCGCCCTTCACTTGAGTTATCTCCATGCTTGAGAGGAGATGGATGGAGTGTAACAACAGGGCCTCAGTTAATTACTCTCAGAATTCCACAATTAAGAAGGGTACATTTACACATCAATCTTCAATTTTATATATTTATTTACTTCACTATGTTTCTCCCCGGAATTAAATTCAAACGAATAGTAACCATATAAACTAAACTTGTTATTCCTGTTCAGTCCTTGAACCTGTTAAAAATCTTCATTATGTTGCATGCTAATTTACTGCTCACCCTCTACCTATATGTATGGACTAGTAACTTCCATTTCACTGTATCCGAAGAAGTGTGCATGCACACAAAAGCTTATACCTTGAATAAAACTTTGTTGGTCTTCAAGGTACCCCTGGACTCGAATTTGTACTGTAATTCTCCCAGACTCCTGCCTACGCTTTTGTGCATAGACGGCCCCCCCCCCCCATCTTCTGCCACCTGGACAAGGGTTTCCATGCCATTTAGACGTCATTCCTCTTTTTTTCTTTCCCCCCGCAAGCGGCCAGTTTCCCCAGAGGCTGTCCTGTACCAATCCGACCACCTAACCTCGAAGAGCCACACCTCCCTCCCTCCCTCCCTTTCCAAGAGGCCGCGCGGCTGTGGATGCGGTTGCCGTGGCAACGGAGCCCCAGCATCTCCCGTCTCCAAGCGACCGTTGCCCGGGCAGCCGAGTGCTGCTCCGCCGGCATCTCTGCCTCGCTCCCTCCCGCCCCGCTTCCCTCTCCGCCCGCCCAGCCTTGGGAGCCGGCCAGATGGGGAATGCGCAAGCTCCGGCCCGGCCAGCCCCACGGCTCAGTTGCAGCTCCATCATGGCGCTCAGGCGGCCGCTGCTGCTGCTGCTGCGGCTGCTCCTCGTCCTCCTGCCTCTGCTCCGTGAGTCTTGCCCGCCCGGGGAGGGGGCAGCCTCAAACCCCCCCCCCCCACGCCCATGCTTTCAGAAGCCACAAGTTGAAAGATTATGGGGCTGTGAGGGGTGGTGGTGGTGGGGCTGTGTTTGGGGAATGTATCCCTCCCCAACCGTAAGCAGGGAATCCCTGGGACGAAGAGGTTATTGTCCTGAATTGCTGGAGTTTGGATAGTTTTATTCGGGAGTGCAGGCGGTTGTAGCGGCATGGATTCTAGCCTCTTTGGAGGGAGGACCAGTAAAGGTTTCAGTGGGGAAAGTTCATCCTGCTTGAAAACATCGCAGTGGGGGTTCTCCCTCCCCTTGTATTTGGGGACACCCTGAATCCTGAGAGTATATTCCAGGGATGGGGGTGTGTGTGTTTGCCGATGTGGATTGTGTGCGGGGCTTCTGGTCACTTTGGGAATGGAGAAATCACACTGAGAGATCCTGCCATATGGCTCAGACCAACAAAGAGTCCGGTAAAGAGTCCAGAAGAGGCGTCCGTGTTCTTCTGTTGCAGCTAAAACCGAGGGGGAGTCTTGTGGCGCTAACAGGTTTTTATTCTAGCATAAGCTTTGTGGGACTGGAGCCCAAACCATCAAATTATAGAACTCATCCAAAAATTACACACCACATGTCATTCTGGCTTAAACAGAGACTTTGGCCTTTCTTTTCTTTGTCTTTACAGTCTCTTAACAGCTCTACTGGACTGACTTTTTAGAAATGTTAGTTGGCGGTTCTTAGCATGTTTTATCAGACCACAACCTAGTATCAGTTAATTTTCACTTAAACTTCTGACTTCATCCCCTTACTTGACTTCATTACTTTGCTTATCTCGCTTGTAACTGCTAATCAGGTTCTAGAGAGTTTATACTTGAAAGACCCACGCTCAGCTTCTGTGTCTCAACTCCCCCTTTAACCATCACTTTGTAATCTTTCCTTTAACTAGACTCTCTAGTTTGATTTCCTACCCCATACAGTATTTACTCAAATGCAAGGCCAGGTTTCTTCCAGGTGTGTCATAAAAAAAGAGGGGGTCGTCTTACATTCACATATAGTTGTGTCCAATAGTAGTAGCCATGTTTGTCTGTAGTAGTAGAGAAGAGCAAGGGTCCAGTAGCAACTTAAAGACTAACAAAATTTGTGGCAGGGTATGTGGGGGAACATTTTAACCTTCTAGGATATTCATATGCTGTCCTAAGAGTAGCAGTTCTCTTACAAAGGAATTCCAAATGGCAATTTGAAGGAGAGACTGCTGAATTGCAACTGTTAATGAAGCTCAAGACAATGCAGCCTCCTGGACTGAATCGAGACTTAGGTTTTCTGTCTCATTACTAATACTGATTTCTCCACACCTACTACCCTTCTGCATATCATACACAACTCAATCATGCCTGAGGCTGTCATTCACCTGTGGTTGTCACTCTGCTCTCCAGTTATATGTACATATGGACTCACATTCTAGCTGTATCCGAAGAAGTGAGCAGTGACTCATACCCTGCCTCACATTTTATTAGTCTTTAAGGTGCTACTGGACTCTTGCTTTTTTCTAGTCCAATAATAATTATTTTTAAGGTTTATAACATTTTAAGAAGGAGCATCTTACACTCAGGGTCATCTTTCTTTCAAGATAATATTGTATCTGAGGAAGTAAGCTGTGACTTTTGGAAAATTCAAATAGAAATAAATGTTTTTGGTCTGTAAAGCAACACTGAATTTGTGTCGTATTTTACACTCCATGTAAATTTTTGTGGTATTTTACACTCCATCTATCTTCCGTCACTCACTTGTCTGTCACAATGCCATCGGCACAATCCCTCTGGAAATTCTCACTCCCAGTTTAAAAGTATTTCAGCAACTAGAACTCATGCACCCCCAACTCAAGAGTTTCTACATTTTAAAATTGGGACATTGAACACAATGACAGCACATCTTTACCCAGAACATTGCCACGTTAATGGAGAAAGCCCTGTGTATTAGATTCAAGTCCAGTAGTTCATTGGAGACCTACAAGATTTTTGGGGCTTAACTATCAATAGTCAAAGCTTCCTTTGTCAGATAAGGGAACTTTTGATTCTTGGAAGATTATACCCTGGAAATCTTGTTGGTCCATAAGGTGCTTTTCTTTCGCAGACCCACACAGCTACCCTTCCAAAACTATCCTGCATGAGAGAGCTGTTGAAGAAAAGATGTGTGGGCTTTTGCCATGAAAGTTTGCACAAGAATAATGTTTCGTTAGTCTTGTAGACTGTTTCTTATCATTTTCCTTCAAAGCCTTTCCCCCCGGGAGGGTCTCTCTAAAAATGGCTGTGGTTTCTCTTTCTGTAACTTGGGGACACAGACCCTTGTTGTTGTTGTAGGATTGGGGGTGGGTGGGATGGCAGAAGCAAGGAGGTTTTCCTCCTGCCCAGTTAGAAGAAAAAGAGATTGTAAAGCACCAGTGCAGGCTAGTTAATCTCTCTCTAAAACTGTTATAAGGGAAAGCCAAACTCTGCCCCATCTGCATGTAATTTAGGAGACAGGTTGAATTATGAGATACGCATGAATCTATCTGTCATCTATCTATCACCTTCCTCTGTGTTATGTTTCTTTTCTCCAGCACCTTTGGGGAAGAAGCCTCTACTCAAGTAATAAGGCGTTTTAGCTTCTCCCTCCAGTCTCCCAATTCAGGGCACCTCCCCCACTTTTCCAGAGGATGGAGGAATCAGGAATGTGGGGCTTGGCCGGGGAGGCAGGGTTGATACTGGATCTTATTCTCTTGGCCGCACAAGCGCCCTTTGTTTCCAGAGCCCCACGCAAATGTTTTCAGCTTTAATTGCAAAAACACTTGTTAATTCCATTCACAAATGGGGTAGGATTTGTCTGGCTATTAATAAAGGCTGGGGGGTGGAGAATGAATGGCAGCCACTCTTTGGGGTGTATATACATGTGCGTGCGAACTTGGAGGGGCATTTGGCCTGCTTTGCATGTGGGTGCATTCTTAAGCAAATTATCCTCATATTGCTCTGTGATGTCCAGCAAAATTCATGTGCGCATAGTTATCACTTCTGACAATCTCACGAGCATCTCATCCTATTTGCTACACAGAAGTAGAGAATTTCTCCCCCACACTTGAAATAGCCCCAGGGGGCTTCTGAGTTTGATCTTCTTTATTCTTTTTAAATTCCCGACGCTCCCCATTCCGTTGAGCTGAGGTGAGTGTGGTCAGTTTTGAGAACACATCTGGACTTTGTGTGTGTGTGTGTGCGTGCAAGGCTGCCCTAGCAGAGATTTACAAATTTGTCAGGATTTTAATTGACAGTGCAGTCCTAAGTAGAGTTAACCCCTCTCAGGCCATTGTCTTCAATGGATTTAGAAGGGAGTAACTTTGCTTAGGACGGCACTGCCATTCTGTTACAAAACGTTAGGCGAGATAAAAAGGTCATTGATAGCTTCTTGCTGTTTTTTCTTTTAAGGTCAGCAATATGTATGTTGCTTCATAAAATGAGAGAAAAGAAAAATAAGGTCACTGCCCTGAGATGTCTACAGTACATTTCCTTTTTGGCAGCGGGCAGTCTTGTAGGGGTGAGATAAGGAGAATCAGTGACCGCAAAGGAGGAATGGAAGCAAGTGCATTGCTATGTGTTTTCGTGTTGTTTCCATGCCTGTTTGGTGTAGTGGGTTAAGTGTGCGGACTCTAATCTGGGAGGACTGGGTTTGATTCCCCACTCATCTTCTTGCAGCTGCTGGATGACCTTGGGCAAGCCATAGTTCTGTCAGAGCTGTTATTTCAAGGACAGTTCTGGAAAGAGCTATCTCAGCCCCACCTACCTCCCAGGGTGTCTGTTGTGGTGAGGGGAAGGGAAAGGAGGTTGTAAGTTGCCCTGAGACTCTGAGTGAAGGGCGGGGTATAAATCCCTTCTCCTCCTCCTCCTCCTCCTCCTCCTCATGAGTGGGTTTTGCAGATGGGTTTGATGGAAGTGAGAGAGGTGCCATCATACAGTTGTCCCAAATTCTTCCCTGCTCTCCTATTGATCAAACCATTCCTCCATAATTATATTTCTGTCGCATTTGAGCATGCAAAATGTTTGATAGTTTTTACCCTCCTTATAAGTCCCAGAGGAGCTGCGGTGGCTCAAGTGGTTAAGACGCTGAACTGCAGGCTGTGGAAGGTCGGTAGTTCAGCAGTTCGAGACCCGGGTGCCGCATGACGGAGTGAGCTCCCGTCTCTAGTTCCAGCTCCTGCCAACCTAGCAGTTCGAAAGCAAGAAATTGCAAGTCGATAAATAGGTACCACATCGGTGGGAAGGTAACAGCGTTCCGTGCGCCTTGGTGTTTAGTCATGCCGGCCACATGACCACGGATATGTCTTCGGACAGCGCTGGCTCTTCGGCTTTGAAACAGAGATGAGCACCGCAACCCTAGAGTCGGACTCGACTGGCTTTCAAGCAAGGGAACCTTTACCTTTACCTATGTCCCAGGGATAGGGTTGCCAACTCCAGGTTGGGAAATTCCTATATATTTGGGGGGTGAAGCATAGGGTTTGGGGAGGCAAGGAACTTCAGTAGGGTACAATGCCGTAGAATCCTCCTTCCAAGCAGCCATTTTCTCCGGGGGAACTGACCGCTGTAGTCTGGAGGTCAGTTGGGATCCTGAGGTCTCCAGCCATCACCTGGAGGATGGCAACCCTACCCAGGGAGCTGGGTTAGGCTGAAACCAAGCAACCCGCTTAGGGCCTTCCCGTTAGCTTTGGAGATGAGCAGCGACTTGTACCTAGCCTCCTCCTGTGCCCAAACTTGGCATTCCATCCCCTTGCACCACATTTTTTAAATTGTGTACGTCCCCCTCCTCAAGAAAACTTGTTCTGAGAGAGACCCATGAAGGATTTGTGCTAAGATAGCTGGGGGTCATGGAATTCTCCAAGTCACAATTAGGTTTTGTGCATACAATGGTCTTTTTGTACCGTGGTGGTGAGAATATATTTAGACACACACCCTGCCCCATTTTT